ATTATTATTATTATTATTATTATTATTATTATTATTATTATTATTATTATTATTATTATTATTAGTTAGCTTGGTGAATAAGTTAAGATTTAGTTTAAGAGGCTTATTTAAAGGGCTCTTGCGCTTTGTTATTAGGAGAGTTGATTATTGAATGAAAATATGAAGTGATTGTGAGTTCTATCGAGAGAGTATCTCGTTTATCTTTCTCACTCGTACGCTTCCTTACATCAGTTGGTATCAGCAGTCAGTACGATCCACGATGTCGTTGGGACGACAAGATGCCACAAACGAACGACGTGATGCAACCTTCAATGATCGATTTTCAACAGATCGACTACTGATTTCAACGGTTGGACTTGCGTTTCACGGATCAATTTTCCGCTCTTTCGACGAGGATCGAGGATTTGAGTTTGATGTTTAACAACGTGGTCTAGAATTTGCAGACGAACCGTACTGCCGGGGACCGGAGTGTGCGCGGGGGATTTCGTGGAGGTCGTGGTCCAGACGGGGCGCCTCGTTGGCGATCTCCACAATCGCTGCCCGACGATACAGACGACAATGAGACCATTTCGGAGGTGGATTCCTTCGGAGAGTGGCCACTTCCGCCCATCGAGACTGCGACGTTGCCGCGCACGACAGCCAAGATGTGATGTGCGACAACAAGGTGTGATTTTTGAGGAATATGACATATCATTGTACGACGGTCCGCCCATTTTTTATGAGGAGCCTTCGGTGGTGAAGACATATTTTTGCAGCTATATGGGTCCCACGTGGGACGTCGCAGAGGTTGATCATCAAATGGGAAGCCCTCGTTCAAACCCGATTTTTGGAGTATCTTGGCCAAAGATGGTTTTTCAGAGCCGAAGCCGAGGCTCAATAACATGTGGGTTATTTTTCGATTGTTTATCACGAAGTCTCCCAACAACGGGATACTTGGTCGTAGTTATGGTTTTGTGCGCAGCAAACGATATAGTATGTTTTGTGTTAATTCAGCTGTGTGAGTTATGCATATGGTGGCGTGGACATGTGCCTTTCCAGTAGATCAGTACTTGCCCAAGATTATATTTACCTTCGGGGTTGTTGGGCGACCTTCAACCTTCATGTTCGATCGGGGGAAACGCCCGGGCTATTCCTGTCATGGGGACATCTTCAACCTTCAACCTTCATGTCGGATTCGAGGACGAATCCTGCTCAACCAGGGAAGAATGATGCATAATTATTATTATTATTATTATTATTATTATTATTATTATTATTATTATTATTATTATTATTATTATTATTATTAGTTAGCTTGGTGAATAAGCCAGGGTTTAGTTTAAGAGCTTATTTAAAGGCCTCTTTTGCTTTGTTATTAAGAGAGTTGATTATGGATGAATTGATATAGTATTATGGTGTTCTTGAAATTGCGATCTCATCTATGTGTGATGCCCCAAAAACAAATGCACGTGCCAATGTTCATACAACACCGACATTAGATTTCATAAAGTAAAAGCCAAGTGATCTAACAATAGTGCGTTGTAGTACAGGCAAGGAGTTCTCTGAGAAGTGTCATCGCCCAATGCCCTGTAACAAGGAAAAATGGTGCATAGAGCTGCTTGCAACATGTACTCGGGTAACAAAGCCATACACTACAAGAAAACATTTCAATTCCAACGAAAAATTTCAACGGCAAAAATTTCGTTGGAATCTTCCAACAAACTTAATTTTATGTTGGAATAAGTGTTGGATGGTTGAGGAATTCCAATGAATTTTTTCCGTTGGAATAGTTGTAGGAATTTATTTCCACAGAATTTTTCGTTGGATTTTAGCTATTCCGACGGCCGTTTTTCCCACGAATTTTTATACGTAGGAATATCCGTTGGAATAGCTATTCTAACGGAAAATTTTTGTTAGAATGTAAGAGCTTTTTTGGTAGTGATAGTTTATCGGAGTCATTAGGGGTTTATATAATCTAACTCAAAATCCTCCAAGCACAAGAGCGGTGTAAAATCTTGAACAATTTTTCGAATTTTGAAATGAGTACAAATTTCATGATAAGAAAAGCAAGCTAGAAGCACTCTCCTTAAGGACTAAATAAGAACTTACATTGAAAAGGCAAACTAGCGCATGAGAAGAGACATTTATCTACATCACAAAACATGCCGCTATATTCAGTCCTTTTACAACTCCATTATAGCAAGCTAATATTGATGGAATATTATTGGTTATTAATTTCTTAAGCCATAAATTTATCATCTTTTTGGGGCTAAACACTATTAGGTGATTATATCTTTAAAATTAGGGAAAAAAAATTTTAACCTCCCAAAGTATGCCGTTTTTTAGAATTTGCTATACAAACTTTTTTTTTTCCTGACAATTTGCCCCCCAATGTAGTCGAAACTGGCAATTTGTCTCCTCAACTGAAAACCCTAATATGGCACCAAAAGTTTTTAACTCAATTGATGATAAATTTTAAATTAATCTTTAAAATTGATTTAGGGTCTTTAAAGCCCTTGTGAGACGAACAAAGTTTGTCGATTTCTGAAAATTGATACATCTGTAATCGATCGACGAAGATAGTTGAAGCACGTGTGTGTAGAAAAAATTCAAATTCAAGTTTTCTGATAACCAAGGTATCCGATCTTCGATTAAAATGTGTCATTTGATATTGGAGGACGAATTTTCTATTGAAGTAAATTTTATGAAAATCCAACGGTCGGATTTTGGTTAGTAGCCTAAAAAATGCTAATTATTGATCAGTAGTTTTCTAAATATTGATCAAAATCCGACAGTTGGATTTTAATAAGATTTGCGCGTTAGAAAATTGGTCTTATCAGCTTTCAAATGACACCTTCCAATTGAAAATCAAATATCTTGATTATCAGAAAATTTGAATTGATTTTTTTTTGGCAAAATTGCATTTTGTGCCCTGTAACTATACGTGTGTGGCAAATGTGGACAGCTTCTTTTTGGTTTGGCAAAAGTGCCCCAAAACTTGTTAAAACCCGGAATTCGTGC